TATATATATATATATATATATATATATATATATATATATATATATATATATATATATATATATATATATATATATATATATATATATATATATATATATATATATATATATATATATATATATATATATATATATATATATATATATATATATATATATATATATATATATATATATATATATATATATATATATATATATATAGTGTGTGTGTGTGTGTGTGTGTTTCTGTTTATATACAAATATATATATTTACACGCACACACACACACACACACACACACACACACACACACACACACACACACACACACACACACACACACACACACACACACACACACACACACACACACACACACACACACACACACACACTTCCTTACACTAGTGATCATCCGCGAACCCATCACTGCAAATTGCAAACTTACTGTCATCAGCCTGTCCAAACAGATGTTCCATTCTGCAATGAGCTAAATTTCCGCAAACACGAACCAACGTCCGGTCTGATTAGAAAGAGAAAGTCAGCGAAAGACTAATATAAACATTTATGTTACGGGGATTACCCTAAACTGATCAGTTGCAACCATGAAGGATAAATTGCAAGTATTTCTCAAGAAGTATGCATTGCTGTTATCAGAGAGATATATAGATAGAGAGAGAGAGAGAGAGAGAGAGAGAGAAGTGAGAGAAAGATAATTATATATACATATATATATATATATGTATATATACATAATTATCTATGTAGAGAGAGAGAGTGAGTGAGAGTGAGAGAATGAGATGGCTTCCGTTCGAGAAGCCCTGCATGCTTGTTTTGAACATTTATGAAATGTTAAAGGTCCTAAAGGAAGGGAGGGGAGATAAATAGACAAAGGCAAACAAACAGGAGGATGAGATGGGGCAAAATATGTCGAAATTTCAGAATACTGTGAAAACATTTTATTTAGACGATGACTAGACACATATTAAGTAGTGAGCAGGGCTCCAAATTCTCAACATGGCTCTAGAAGTCTTTTTTTTATGGGAAAAGACATTACAATTACATGAAACTTCCTGAGAATTGTAGGCACATGCAACTGTAGCCGATACTTTGAAGAGAAGTGTATATACCTTGTAGAAATTATTCATATATGTCTGTGTATCTTTTATTATTACTTTGTTGTTCTATTTATTCTTCCATGGGAGAGGAGGTTGCCACGCAACTAATTTGTTTCTCTGTTTATTTATCTCTTTTATATGTATTTGTTGTTATTATTATTATCATCATCATCATCATTATTGTTGTTGGTATTATCATTATTGTTATTTTTCATTATTATTGTTATTATCATTATTATTATTATTATTATTATTATTATTGTTACTATCATTATCATTATCATTATATTATTATTAGTAGTAGTATCATTATCATTATTAACCATTATCATCATAATTTGACAATAGAAATCATTCCTTTTAATGATCTGCATTTTCACATTTTGCAGACACTGAAGACTTTTCTCCTGGAGGCTGCCAATTGCGAAGATCCTAATTCATAAGAACCAAGAACCATGGAGTTCGTGGTGGAAATAGCATAAACAACAGCAACAATAGAATGCTAATGTTAAGAGTAATGCTATTGTTTATGTTGAAAAGGTTTACGTAGAATAACATTAACGGACGTAATAGAAACACGATAACAATAATGGACAGAGTGATGATGATAACATAAACAGCAGTGAAAGTGTGTTGATAATATTCAATACTGATACAATTAATATATAGTAGTAGTTAGGATAATAACAAAAACGCAAAATCTAACAAACTAACACACAGGATGCTCAGGCCTCAACTCCGCTCCCGAAAAAAAATATGAGTGATAGTGTTAATCATAACAAGAACGATAATTATAATGAAGTAAGATTGATAGAAACAATAATAAAACTAAAATGATATTATAGACAATCATGGCGATACACATAACAGTGATTGATAATACTAATAAAAAAAAATAACGGTAATGATGATAATAATGATAACAACAACAATAATGATGATGATTATGATATTAATAATGATAATGATAATAATAATAATAATAACAATAATAATAACTATAACAATAATGCAAATTACAACAATGTTAATGATGACAATGACCATGATAATAATGAGGATAATAATTTTGATGAGTTTGCACTGTTGTGCAAACTCTAGCAGTGAGCATAATTTACTATTGTTCAAATGTTTGGGGCTCAACTAATAAAACCCGGATACAGAAATTACAAAAAATACTAAACTTTCCTGCAAAAGTTGCATTAGGTAATAATAAATTTGATCGCATCACCCCGCATATTCAAAAACTAAAATGGTTAAAAGTCCATTCTTTATGCTGTTATGGTACATGTGTAATCATTCACAAACTCATTGCCCTTTGCTAACTGTAGGGAACACAGCAGGTGTCCAAACACGACAGGTAAATTCTCTTTATGTTAAGAGATCGAATACAGAAACAGGGTGAAACCAAGATCTCTGGAGCATTCTGTAATTTCAAAATGAATATAAAATATAAGTCTTCAACAGTCAAGAGTAATACTGATTAAATTATGTAAAGAATAACCATTGTAATTTATTAAATAAAATGTCTGAACTTGAATTTGAATTTCCCCTTCTTCAATCAATGAGAAAGACATGGGACGTGTCAGTAGATGTTAGCGATATTCTGTCTATCTGTTTGTTTGTTTTGGTTTGTCTCTGTCTCTGCCTCTATTTCACTCTCTCTCTCTCTCTATCTCTCTCTCTCTCTCTCTCTCTCTCTCTCTCTCTCTCTCTCTCTCTCTCTCTCTCTCTCTCTCTCTCTCTTCTTCGGCCTGTCTATCTGTCTCAGTCTCCGCTCTCTCATTATTGTTTCTATTAATCTTACTTCGCATTGATTATTGTTAGTATTAACACTATTACAGACATTACAATATATATATATATATATATATATATATATATATATATATATATATATATATACATATATATATTTGCGCACACACACAAATACGCACCCACACATACACACACACACACACACACACACACACACACACACACACACACACACACACACACACACACACACACACACACACACACACACACACACACACACACACACACACACACACACACACACACACACATATATATATATATATATCAAGCGTTCACAGAGGAAGGGAATTAAAAAAAGGAACCACAAAATCGCTGGTCATCCGGTGTGGGATTCTATCAAATTTCCGTTATATTACAATTTGTATTTTGGTTGTTATCGTTATCCTAAAAAAAACATTACACAGTAAAAATATCATTTTCATTGTTTTTAATATTATTACCATCACCGTCATCATTATTATTGTGTTGTTGAACTTAGTGTTCTGCAGAATCGTTTTCATCATTAATATTTTTATCGTTTACATTTTGCATCATTGCCACTACCATTATTCTGTTTTTATCACGATCGTTATGGTCGTTTATCCGGTTCATTCTTACACTCTGCACTCTCAAATTATGCAAAGCGTATAAATGGAGAATGAAAATACATGGAGATTATTCAAATTATTTTATTGCTGTTTTCATATAATGATGATGATGACGATGAGGATGATAAAGAAAATTATAATGATGATAACGATAATGATAATAAAAATTAATAATAATAATAATAATAATAATAATAATAATAAACATATTGATGATAATTATGTTTATGAAACAGTCATTTCTTAAAACAAATGAGTGGCAGATCCAGGAAGGGTAACCCCATCCAGGGGCGTCACTTAAGGGGGCGTATGGGGGGTGATTCCCCCCCAACTCTAAAAAAAGCCTCTTTTTGCTGGGCAAAATCTAGTTCTGCAGGGCAAATTTTCTCTTACGGAATCTGCCTCAATAGCCGATAAGTATTCAAGATATATAAATAACTATATGAAACTAATTGTTGATGATACTTGATTTATAACATTTTCTGGTGCAAAGTGTCTAATGTCTAAACTATCGAAATTAATTTTTGAACCCTGTTCTATTCGTTATAGATTTCTTGTTTTTTGGTATTGTAAGGTATTTCTAGTTAAGTTTTAACGTTTTTTGTTGTTTTGTTCATTTATCATTGATGGTCCATTCCGGGCTACTGTGTGGTGCAGCGGTAGCGATCTCGTCTAGCAATCTTGCTGACCTGCGTTCGAATCCCTCGCCACCAGTGGTAACCCCAGCTATTCCTTGCATACAGGGGATAATTTAGAAGCAAAATAAAACGGACAGTATGTCACACCAAGAATATCCATTGTAAGAAATGGAATCAAACTAAATTATTTATTATTATTATTATAAAGAGCTAGTGAGCATTTTCTTTTTCGTGATTTGCAGGGCAAAAATTATTTTTTCAGGGCAAATTTACCCGTCACCCCCCCAACTCATAACATGAAGTGACGCCCCTGACCCCATCCCCTCGCAGAAATAAAAAGCACAACAAAGTCAAAATATAAGATACACAGACATACGTGAATAATTTCAACAAGGTATATACTTAATTGTAATATTTTTTTCCCATAATGAGACTATAGGAGCCATACTGAGTATCCGGGGCCCCACTCACTACACGGCATATGTCCAGTTATCAACATCTGAATAAAATGCTATTTTCACATTGGTAAAATGGTCGCAAGTGTGATGCACAATGTTTCGAAACACCGAAATAATTTTGTCCCTTTTCCTCCTCTTGTTTTCCTCTCTCTCTGTTTATATGTTGACATTATCATTATCATTATCGTTACTATTATAATTATTACTATAATCATTATTTTCACTCTTATTATTATTAGCATTATCATGATCACCACCATTATCATTATTATTATTAGCATGAATTTTTTTTTTTATGAAGCTACAGAATGTGGTAAGATGATGGAAGTCCCACGACTAAGCTGAAATTAGAATTCATGAAATGGCAAAGGCAGAAAGAAAAGACAATATTTAAAAAATATATATATATTGCTATTGTAGCATATGGACTAGATAAATACAGGTACAACACCATGTAGCATGGCAGTGACTGCGATTGACAATCAACGAATGCTTCTGCGATCACAGATCACGTGATATTTTCAGCAGGCATCGGGGCTTAGCTAAGGCGAGGTCACTCTTCTCGCTTGCTAATACATAATCTTCTTGTATAATATGGGGGCCGAAGGAGGCTTGATGGTCTTGGGGTCTACGCCGCGCGCTTGGTATTGGTAAGGAGACGGAGAATACAATATGGGCGCTGTCGGCGGCGCTGCTGGGATGGGCTGCTCATATCTGGTGTCCATGTGGTACTTGGGAGCGTCGTAGAGCACTTGGGCGTACTGGATGCTGGCAGAGGGCGGACACAACCTTCGGGGGTCCACTCCCCTTTTAGTGTATGTGTACGGCACGGTTACGACAGGGGGGTTCGGTATGTAGTTTGTGACAGGACCTGGAATAGACATAGGCAAACATACAGTATGTTCATTTGGACTAAATTATGACCTACTGTAATTTTTAATCAGTATTTGACCTGATATCTTGAAAACAAATGTCCTTTCTCTTTTTCTACACACATGCACACAAACACACATATATACACACATATACATACATACACACACACACACACACACACACACACACACACACACACACATATACATCTGGTGTCAATGGCTGACCAGCGCAGCCGATCTGAACCGATCTGAGTTTGATAAAGCGTTTTGTCTAAGCCTTCTTGCTTTCCGTCGCTCCCACACGCAGTACATTATCATTGTCATTGTCAGAAGTAAATAATCACTAATCACTAACCTACCTTAGTTATAAACTGCAATGTATATGTTCTGAGTTTCCTAACACGCACAAAAAATGAAAATGATAGATGCACATTGGCATAAACTGCGTCTTTATTCACACTCCCTATTTAAGACGAGCAAGAAATATTTTTATTATTACCCTCTCACATAATCCTAATGCTCAGCCAAAGATGACTTTCTACGGACACTCCTGAAGCAAACACAGTAAACTCCTTCGTATCTCTCTCTCTCTCTCTCTCTCTCTCTCTCTCTCTCTCTCTCTCTCTCTCTCTCTCTCTCTCTCTCTCTCTCTCTCTCTCTCTCTCTCTGTCACACACACACACACACACACACACAAACACACAGACACACCTCAGTACACGTGAACATTTCTGGATTCGTTGTTGAACATTGCAAACTTACTGTTATCCGTTTCTCCAAGTAGGTGTGCCATTTCTGCTATGGGCCAACTTGAGTCGACGACAAGTAGTATCCGGTGAGGTTAAAACAAGAATGCCCGACCGGGGCCGCGAGCCAGTATATATATCGCGAGAAAACGTTTACTTGAAGTGGTGCAACTGAATATTATCATACGTAGTTATGATTCCTAAGAAACACGTTTTGATTCTAAAAAAACGTATACACATGAATGAAAGAGAAATTTGATTAAAAAAAATATTCGTTTTATATACAGTGTATACGCGTGAGTAAGAGAGAGAGAGTGAGTAAGAGAGAGAGAGAGAGAGAGAGAGAGAGAGAGAGAGAGAGAGAGAGAGAGAGAGAGAGAGAGAGAGAGAGAGAGAGAGAGAGAGAGAGCCGAGAGAGAGAGAGAGAGAGAGAGAGAGAGAGAGAGAGAGAGAGAGAGAGAGAGAGAGAGAGAGAGAGAGAGAGAGAGAGAGAGAGAGAGAGAGCCGAGAGAGAGAGAGAGAGAGAGAGAGAGAGAGAGAGAGAGAGAGAGAGAGAGAGAGAGAGAGAGAGAGAGAGAGAGAGAGAGAGAGAGAGAGAGAGCCGAGAGAGAGAGAGAGAGAGAGAGAGAGAGAGAGAGAGAGAGAGAGAGAGAGAGAGAGAGCCGAGAGAGAGAGAGAGAGAGAGAGAGAGAGAGAGAGAGAGAGAGAGAGAGAGAGAGAGAGAGAGAGAGAGAGAGAGAGAGAGAGAGAGAGAGAGAGAGAGAGAGAGAGAGAGAGAGAGAGAGAGAGAGAGAGAGAGAGAGAGAGAGAGAGAGAGAGAGAGAGAGAGAGAGAGAGAGAGAGAGAGAGAGAGAGAGAGAGAGAGAGAGAGAGAGAGAGAGAGAGAGAGAGAGAGAGAGAGAGAGAGAGATAAAGTGGGGGAGAGGAAGAGAGAGATAAAGTAGGGGGGGGAGAGGGAGCGGACGAGGAAGAGGGAGAGGGAGAGGGGGAGGGGGAGGGAGGGAGGGAGAGGGGGAGGGAGAGAGGGAGAAAGGGAGGGAGAGGGAGAGGGAGGGGGAGAGGGAGGGAGGGAGGGAGAGAGAGTGAGAGAGAGAGAGAGAGAGATAAAGTGGGGGGGGAGAGGGAGCGGAAGAGGAAGAGGGAGAGAGAAGGGGACGGAGAGGGGAGGAAGAGAGGGAGAAGAGGAGGGAGAGGGAGAGGGAGGGGGAGAGGGAGGGAGGGAGGGAGAGAGAGAGAGAGAGAGAGAGAGAGAGAGAGAGAGAGAGAGAGAGAGAGAGAGAGAGAGAGAGAGAGAGAGAGAGAGAGAGAGAGAGAGAGAGAGAAACTATCCTGGTGACAACGTAAAACGTTGTGGGTAAATTCCTCTCGGAAGCGATTACCTCATCACTTCCAAATAAAAAAGCATAAAATCGGGCTTGGATATAGATTGTATTGGCAGGTCAGTACAATTTGTAAGGTCGAAAAAACTGTGTAAACTGAATAATGAAGAATATAACACTTGTACATCATCATATTTCAGAGTGCCATGTGTCACAGCCTTTCAAACCACCTAGCGTGAGGTAAGGAGAACTAATGTAACCATTTTATATTATCTGATGTATTAGAATCAGTGGCGTGGTGGCTGCTATTTGGCTGGGGGGGCACTAGTTTTTTTGGGCACCCCTTTGAGAACCGCGCCCTTGGTACAAATGTATTTGTACCATTTGGACTGTAGGCGCCTTTTCGGAGCACTGTAGATTTTTTGTACATATTTGCTTTCAGTGAGCTTTTGGCGCCCTCTTGGAGAGTTGAGACACCTTCGGCGCCTCCTGCTTTTTCTCCGATGCCATGTAGTATCGCATGACCACATATCGAATGTAGCAATGTCTTTCCATGCCCAAGCTGTAAGCCGGCGTGGCAGATGATTAGATAAAGGACTGTGTAATTGTTCTTTTCCTTTTACTAATATAGTACTTATCATAATGATGTTATAACCTAAAATTTAGATGTAATACCATTAAATAATGATATGGCCATGCATCAAATGTACCACAGCTTGGCCACGCCTGTACAGTTAGCCAGGGTGGTAAGTAAGGGACTAAAGAAAAAAAAAAGGAAAAAAAGAACAACGGATGCAGCGAGATAGACAAGCACGGGAGCCTGCAAACACGAAGTCCGCGTGCAAAAGTCCGCGTGCAAAAGTCCGCCTGCAAAAGTGCACCTGCAAAAGTCCGCGTGCAAAAGTGCGCCTGCAAAAGTCCGCGTGCAAAAGTCCGCGTGCAAAAGTGCGCCTGCAAAAGTCCGCCTGCAAAAGTCCTTCTACACGAACGCGGGCACACGCAGGCATCCGGATTCCTTCTACGCGAACGCTGGTGACTCATAAAGATGGCGCACCTCTTCCAGGTCGACCGCGTCCGCCTGCTCTGCTCCTGCGGTGTGCTCAAGCCCATCACTGCCATCTACTTCTGCCGCCACTGCCTGAAGCTGAGATGCGGGAACTGCGTGTCGCACGAGGTGATGAAGTGGGCGAGGGTGGGGGGGTGCGGGCGGCGGGCTGCAGGGGATGGGCGTGAGTCCCTTCCTGACAGCTGATTTCGGGGCTGCGAAATATAGGCAGTAAAATATGAAACGGAAAAGATCTTACCCATTGATTGTTGTTGTATTGGTGTCAGTAACTCTGTATGTGAATATCCTTATGAATATTTTAGAGGAAAACGGAAACAGTTATGCAGATACAATTCTATGTAGTCATGAGACCATATAGAAATGCGGGTGTTGACACTTCGGGTAATTAAAGATAAACTTAACTAGTCACCATGCAGGGAAAGACTAGACTAGACATCACTAGACTTTACCCTTCAAAATAATCAATGGAAGCTGCTTGAGAAGGACCACAAAGCTCTGGATGGTTACTTCATACTCATTTGCTGCATTTGGAACTCTTCTTGCTCAGGCAAATAAGTTGTCTGGACCTACCGGACAGTGAAAATAAGGACATTTGTTTCTAAGAGCAATGCACAGAGATAGAGGGAAATGGACATTGCCATTTTATAGAGCATGAGAAACAGAGTAAGAAGCAATATAGGTACAGCTGCTCTGGCCTCATATTTACCTTGGAATGCATATAACCTCTCAGAGGCCAAGGCCACATCACCCTCATGCAGCTTGAGTTCTTAATGTCGCATTTTCTACAAGTTGGCATGAAGTTCTCATAAAGTGGGATACAGGGAGGAAAGGTTACGTTTGGATTACGGGTTTGCATGATACCCTGATTTAAGTACTCTCTCCCTGGAGGGTGCATTTCTCTGTAACAAATACCAAGATATGTTTGGGAACACATCAAGGCCTTCATTAACCATAATGTACTAAAATAAATGTTCACCATACGGTTTTACTAGTGTCTTTGTAACTACTCAGATAGATTGATAACTTATCAGTAAGTGACAAACAAGAAAGTAACTTTAAATTGCATCAATAAAGTACATACCAATCATCTTATGATTGTCTGCAACTATTATTGTTTATATACAAATACTATTGTGATGTCTTCTTGTCCTGCTGGACCAATGGGAGAGGGTGGGATGGAAGATACTCTTCAGCTTCAAGATTACCCACGACTTGAGTCGGGGAGGGTTGATCCTCGCTGATGGATGGGTCTATCAAAGAAATCTTGACCTATCCAGATCTATGTTAACAATAGTAACAGAATCGATAAACAATTGTATTATAAAAAAAAAAAAAAAAAATTGGTAAATCAGGATCGGTCACTAGGGCCTACCGATAGATTCCTTGCCAGATGAGCACATGTGGAGCTGTCTGTATGTGACAAAATTCACAAAAAACAGAACAAATAGAAAATCTGTGGTTGTCGGGTAAGCCAAGATGAGTTCTGAATGTAATACATTCTCATAGATAATCAGGTATTAATTTGGTAAATGATACTAATTAACTAATTGTGGTTTTCTTCCTGATTTTTTTTTTTTTTTTGTAATTGCATTATCAAAATTTGCTGGAAAGTTGCAGTGACCTGTGAAGACCGACAGTCTAATTCTTACTTAATAGTAGAGTAGTGTAGTGATAGCCACAGCCTCCACACTTCACACTCATACTGTCCAGGCAATGTAGCTATGGCTAGATGTACATTACAGTTTATCCTGTGCAACACCGCCAACACAGGCAATAACCACCAATGTTTATGTTTAGATGACTTAGATGAAGATATAGCATTCTGTAATATATTGAATTCTAGGGTTAATTTTTACGGCATAGACATACTAAGCAAGGGGAAAATGGAGATGATATTCTTGTAGAGGATAAAAAATTGTAGTCTTCAGTTCAAGAAAAATCTGCAGACATGAATAGTAATACCACATAAAGGAAAAAAAAAATCGAGAAGTGTCATTCACAGCCTAAGGCCACTTGGTCCTCCAGAGTTTCAGCTTGCTCTGCATACCAAGGTGGAGATATTATTTACCAAGGTAGTAAGGGGGGCTTAGCCCCGATCAAGCCTACCCTAGGGCAGCCCAGTCATAGTAATTCAGATTGGAATAGAGTTTGCAACATAGAGTCAGAGATTTAATCTCTGGAAGTTTGTCCATACTGTAAATAATTGGCAATTCCAGAAATTATTTAGATGAAGATATAACACATTTATTTAACTATTGTTTGTTTACATAAACCCAGTGCTGCCAGGAAAAATGCAGTGTTCATTTTATTTATTTATTATTTTTATTTATTTATTTATTTATTTATTTATATATTTTATTTTGTTTTATTTATTTATTTATTTTTTTTTGTGAAATGTGTCTGCACATAGATGGCTCTGCTAGTGCTTAGCCATAAAGGAGTCAATTAGTAGACCTTGTGACCTTCTGATTTCACCTTTCCTTGAATTGGTTGGAAAAACATATTTTTTTACTAATGCTATGAATATCGATGGTGTTATTTTTATTATAAACAAAATTACTATAATATTATTGACAATATTAAGCAGTATAAGATAACATAAAATATTTTCAGAAATCAAGGAAAAGGGTAAACGAGGCGAGGCAGCAGTACTCATAATTGGCTCATTGGTGACTTAGTACAAGTGTAGCCATCTATGTGTAAAAACAATAAAGTAAATTCACATAAAACATGCTGTGATCTGAGTTGGAAGTTACACAATATGAAGTCCAATCAGATAGTGGTGTAGTGTCAAGCTATAGCCATGGCCCCTGCATTCAGTGTTTTAACAGAAAACAACAAACCTCCACATATATTTTGGCAAGATGGAACTTGATTGTTATTCTATATTTGATGATAAGTTTGCCTTTGCCAAAGTATTTGTGGTTGTGTATGGGCCTTTAATAGAGGGCTGATTGTTATGGACACACGGTGGAGTTTATAGCATTTGTCTTTATAATTATTTTTTCTTCAGTTATATACTTTTATTTAGGGTATCTCCAGGCATCTCCTATATATATTCATCATATATTTATATTTGGATAATTATATTTCTTATATATTTTTTTTTATGATGATTTGCAAATAATATGGAAGTGTAAAAAATATGAGACAGCTTGTATATCATTAATATTGGAACAGGTTGTATTGATATTGCATTTTCTGAATTCAGGTGGACACACTTTTCTGCCCAAACTGTTTGGAGAATATGCCTTCGACTGAAGCCCGGCTCAAGAAGAACAGGTACAGTAGTACACTTATGTTTGAGTTCTATAGTTCAAATAAGATTGAGATTGAAGAAAGCTTCCAAAGCTGTGAAAGGAATGCAATATATAGATAGGCAAAAAAATTGTTTACTGGTATATTTATATTTATATTTATATTTATATTTATATTTATATTTATATTTATATTTATATTTATATTTATATTTATATTTATATTTATATTTATATTTATATTTATATTTATATTTATATTTATATTTATATTTATATTTATATTTATATTTATGTTTATGTTTATGTTTATGTTTATGTTTATGTTTATGTTTATATTATATACATATACATATACATATACATATACATATACATATACATATGCATATGCATATATATATATGCATATATATATATATGCATATATATATATATGCATATATATATATATGCATATATATATATATATATATATGCATATATATATATATATATGCATATATATATATATATATATGCATATATATATATATATATATATATATGCATATATATATATATATATATATGCATATATATATATATATATATATATATATGCATATATATATATATATATA